TCATTGACATGTTGTAGCTATTCTTATTCTTTCTTTAGTTCTATTTCAGATATGGATGAACAAACACGTTCAAATTACTCCAACTATGAGTGCTCAAATTCAACGAAGGGGACAACGTCGAAAGATACGCCGTCGCAACATTTATTCCTATAATGCTTCAGACTCGACGCCTGAAATTATCAGGAATGTCCCAAGGGCTATACACAATAAGTTAAGAGATCGAAGGGCTGAACGAAGGGAAAAAGAAAAGAAATTTAGAGAGCTTAGGCCTGCACTAGATCTACATATTGCAAATTATCAGCTTATGAGAGATGCACTAATAGATGTTATAGACAAAATTATACTATACGATTGGGAAGCATTATCAATTTTAGTAGATTCACTTGGACAACCTTTAGGTAGTATTTTAACTGACATTTATCACGAGGTGTGGCCAAGTGGACCTTTTTGGGTTTATGTCCTTAAATTTGAAGCAGAGTGGGAGAACCGTCTCTACGACTACCTGTAATTTATTTAATTAATGAAAGTTTTTTATTGATTTGCAACATTACCTGTCATTTAATTATTATTATTTTTCTTAAGAGCGTTAGATAAGATAAATTACATAATGGAATAACGCAAACTTATTCCTTCAAATAATGCAACTTTAATGACATATCCAATGTCTTAAAAGAGGGGAAAAAAAATACACACATTACTTTACGCTCTTTGCTTGATTATATGTAATTCTGATGTATAGTAATACTTTACAATTGTTTTGCCTCTTTTCAAATCAAAAATTAATGAGGAATCTATATTAATGAGGATTTAAAAATTAATGAGGAATCGATCAAATGATTTAAATTTTACGATTGATCAAGTTATAAAAATATGAGATGGTTAAGCAACTAAGTTAATAATTTATTATATTTTTTTCTTCGGGTACTATACTAGTTATGTTAAAAGACCATAGTACTAAGCAGGCAAGTACATGACAAGATTCGTCACTGTTTCTTTTTTTTCTTTTCTTTCTTTCTTTTCCACGTATTGGACAATTCAATCTGAGTAATATGAAAAATCATAAGCCCACCAATCCCATCGTTCTTCTTTCATTACATGGTCCCAAAAGATTGAAAACAATTGGAAGATATTCTGCTAAAACTCTAATCTCCAATGTTACATGTCAACCACAAGACTTCAAATCCTACGTGTCCTTCAAACACACCACTTGAAATCAGCTTTGATAAGAATCAGATAAGGCCTTTCTCTCTTTTAACCGTCCGATCACTCCATCCTCTCATCCAACCGTCATAATTCTTTCCTCCGCAGATCAAAAATCTGTACCTTCTTCACCAATATAATCAGTATAGGCTCCATATTCCACCACATCAATTCAACAATTTTTCACTAGTCTCCTAGTTAGCTCACATTAGCGGCAATGGCTACCGCAGCTGCCACATCCTCATTCATCGGAACACGGCTGCCGGAAATTCACTCCGGTGCCGGTAGAGTCCAAGCCCGATTCGGATTCGGAAAAAAAGCCGCACCTAAAAAGGCTCCAAAAAGGCAAATCCCAGACAGACCGTTATGGTACCCAGGAGCTAAGGCACCAGAATATCTGGACGGGAGTCTCGTCGGCGATTACGGATTCGATCCATTTGGTTTGGGGAAACCTGCTGAGTACTTGCAATTTGATTTGGATTCATTGGACCAGAATTTGGCTAAGAATTTGGCCGGTGACGTAATTGGGACCAGGACTGAACTTGCTGATGTGAAATCGACACCGTTCCAGCCGTACAGTGAGGTGTTTGGACTGCAGAGATTCAGAGAATGTGAGCTGATCCATGGGAGATGGGCTATGTTGGCTACACTTGGTGCTTTGACTGTTGAGTGGCTCACTGGTATTACATGGCAAGACGCTGGAAAGGTACTACCTACACCATCTTTTGCTTTTGCATGAACGTATTATAACCTGAGATTAACTTAGTTTATAGTGACAGTGAGAAAAATTAATATAAGACATGTGCTAAAATTTACTGGTAGTAATAAAAGTATAAAACAATAAACAAATTTAAGTTGTTAGCTATATAAGTTAACTTCCCTACTTAATATTTAGTAGTAGTTCTGGTACATTACTTTCTTTGAATAGATAATTCTTATTACATGTTAATTCATGCTCAACGTCATTTGTAATTGTAAGCATATATATATACCCACTAAATGCTTATTTGAATTAAATATGTATGAAAAGTTTTAATTAAAAATTTATATCTATATTATATTTGCATAAAGTTTAATTAAAGAGTAATAACTCTGTTGTAATACATACTATTAATTCAAATCTTGGATCCGCATTTTATTTTCAACTTTCCGTATTTCATTTTGATGCCTGAACAGTAGGTTTGTGCATGGTGCTTGTGATTATTCCTTCCTCATTGTCCATGGTTGCCTAGCTAGTTTCGAATTTGTGGATTTACTATTTTGCTAGATTGGGACTACAATCCCATTGGGAACAAAATTTAAACATCATCAATATTTATTAGAAACTTTGGTGGAAAAAAAAAAAAGCAATATGCTCGTGATCGAGCTTGAGATAAATAGAAAAAATAGATCAAGAAAGTATGAAAACAAAGTTTCTAATCACTTGATTTTACGCACGACCAAACCTAAAGTGGAAAATTTCGATGTTTTATGGACAGTTTAGGCTAGAAATTGCATAGTGTAGTTGAGGAGCGATATACATTTAACTGCACTCGTCGTTTAAACCATATAGTTGGTTAAGTAATTTAATGAGGTCAAAATTTATATTACAACTATGATTAAATGATAAAAGTTCATCGAGTATGGATGAGTTTTTCCTGAAAGGAATATTTAATTTGTCACCTTGCTGCACCTAGAAGGTAAATAGGATTAAAGTATTTACATTATGGGGTTGTTTGGTTGGGAAACAAGTTATCACATGATAAAAAAACACTACAATCTCGGGATAACTAATCCCGAGATTAATTATACCATAATTTTATCCTAACCAAACAGGGATAAACCCATTTCAAATTTAATAAGACTTATCAGTAGAGTATTGTTTAACTTGTGATTGTGTTGCACTTGCCATTTCTAACTCATTTAACTCTTTCTTGGACTTGCATAGGTTGAGCTGGTTGAGGGATCATCCTACTTGGGGCAACCACTCCCATTCTCCATTACAACATTGATCTGGATTGAGGTCCTTGTTATTGGATACATTGAATTCCAAAGAAACGCTGAGCTTGACCCGGAAAAGAGGCTTTACCCTGGTGGATCATTCTTCGACCCATTGGGCCTTGCTGCTGACCCGGAGAAAAAAGCCACACTTCAACTTGCTGAGATCAAGCATGCTCGTCTTGCTATGGTTGCCTTCTTGGGCTTTGCTGTCCAAGCTGCTGCTACTGGAAAAGGCCCACTTAACAACTGGGCTACCCACTTGAGTGACCCACTTCACACTACCATTTTCGACACATTCGGCTTCTTCTCTTAAGCCCAGCCCAACGCACCTTGTTTTTCAGCTCTATCTAGTTGAGAGGATGGTTTTACGTATATTATATTATTATATTCATCTGCATCTTGTAAAAATTGTAACATTTGACACTCTAAGGAGAAGGAAATATCAAACGCTATTGTTAATCTAAGTTTGTCATGTTCTTCAGTGTTGATATCGCAAATTTTCTTATTCTTTTTTTCATCCTTATGTTGCATAAGGAAATGATATATGAATGCCATAGGGTTCTACAATAGTAAATCTAAGAGATTGATTAACAAAATATGCATAAAAGAGGGTGGACTTTAGCCTTTTGTATTTCGATGACTAGATTCCTTGATAATTAGGATTAGGGGTGAAGGTGATAACAAAGTTGATGTGGTATTTTGATGCTAAAAATCAGTTGAACTTGCATCCCAACTTGAGAAACACAATTTCCCAAGAGAAATCAAATATTAAAGAAACGGAGAATTTCATATAAAAGCAATACCATCTAAGTACAAGGACATGTTTCAAACATCTTCACAAGTCACATCCATATCCCAAGAAGCTTTCACATTTTGCGTAAACATGTATACTAAACTTTCGTGTCAGAGAATATATATATA